TGTGTGTGTGTGTGTTTGTGTTTGGGTGTGTGCTCGACAGGCAAGAGCAGGTCGACAAGAAAAACAAGGTGCGCAACCCGTGCTGCGTCGGCGTCGTTGGGATTCGCAGCGCCCGAACATTATGTGCGGAGGCCTGTGCCTGTTAGAGCAGCTAGCCTGGCATGCCTCGGCGGTTCGGCACTGAGTGTGTCCGCTTCGTCCTGTCGGTTCACAAGCCCATGGACTGCGTCAGTTCCTCACCGAGTGGGACAGGTGCCCCAACGGCCGATTGCCTGAGGCCAACATGTTACCCGGACTTCGCCGTTCGTTTGCAGAGGCCAGCGAAAGCGTGTGAATGTGGCAATGGGTGGTTAAAGCTGGTTTGACACAGCCTGACCTGCAACGCAATTCGCTCCTTCGCTACTGAGAGCTGAAGGCAGCCTTGCTTGGAGACTTGCCTTGAGTTGCGGGCGGACGTTCCCGAAAAGAGGAACCTGTGGAAAGCACACGAGTTTAATTAGGCAAATTAGGCGGTACAGATGCCTTTCAGTGCCTCTGATTTCAGGACTAATTCGTGCATTTCTTTCAGAGCGAGAGTTTGAGGCTTGCCGTAGCCACTGAGGCGGCGGTGCGGCAAAGGCTTCAGCCGCCAAAGAGTTCTCCCTGAGAAAGGGCGAAACGAAGCAACGGTTGAACTCGCCGGCCACTGCAGTAAACAAATTGTGAAGAGAGTGCAAGCAAGATATGAATGGATGGGAATCAGGTTATGTCTGTCTGCTTACACTGCTAATGATGCGGCTACTGCTATGTAAGTTAGGGCACAGCTGCACACAACCCAAGTCGAGCAAGTTCAGAGACGGGCTGTCGTTCGAAAACATCTGCATGCGCCGTTTGGCTTGAAGCAAGGCTCAGGGAACTCAGCCTCAGATACAGCTTTGCAGCTTCTTTTGGGCTTCCCTCGTCTCTGCCCGACTCTTCCACTTTCTTGCTCGCTTCTGACCCTGCACAAAGCCTTCCCGCCTCGATTTGCCGACTGTTTTTGCGCATTTGGCTGCGGCTCCTCCGCAGTAATTGGCTCCCGAAACATGCGGCAAGATTTCGAAAGTTACATTAAGCCGATGAGCCTCGGCAGGTTCAACGAACGATGGGGGCCATGTTGCAGGATGCACCTCAGCAGATGTAGTAGCAAGAAGACTGTAGACACAAGTGTTCAAGGCGTGTTCTGTTTGTTTTGAAACCCTGCTTTGAACCCATGAAACCGTCGTGGCATTCATGAGGGAGTGCTGGCCAAGGAAACCGTCGGGGGCCTGATCAGACAGCTGTGGCACTGGAAGCTTTACTCAACTTCGGTTCCAAGGTTTCGTCGCCAAAGCTTTAGATTGGTGGGTGTCTGCACCCTACGGCCTACTAGTCCTTGTTTAGCTTCCTGGCAGTCACCCACCCGATGTTTTCCAAGGAGACCCTGGAGCAGTCGCTTCAAAAAGTGTCAGCTGCTGAGTGGCTTAGTGGCTTAGCGCCAAGCTGCCTCAGACAGAGGAAAGGCTGATTCACGCATCCCAACCCTGACAGGCTGGCCCTGAATTTATGAAAAGACTCCCGCAAGGCCCGGCCTCCTGGCCCCGAATGCAGCACCAAGTGATGTTGGCACCTTACGGCTGATCAGATGTCATGCAAGTGGCGGTGCTGGAAGCTGTTCATTCTCACTATGAAGGTGCTGGCCGGGTCTTTGCAGCGTGTCATCGACGAGGCCTGCACTTGTGTGATAGTTTCTACGTGCATGATGGCAGATGAGCAAGGAGCCTCCTCTCCAGCCGTCGCACCTTTTTCGGCATCACTCCTCTCCGGCTGATTGCTGAGCTGGTTTCGAGAGCGTCTGCGAACTGTCCAACCTCTTACTCTCTTGCTGTGCGGTGTCACGCGAGTCATCCGTGACCACGATGGAAGGATGGGATGTGATGGCAGCTAGGTCACTTCAAGCTTTTATTCATGCATGAACTGAAGCGGTAGCGTATTTCACGCCACTGGGGATGGCACCTCGGTGTCGAGCAAATCAGGCTGAACTGGCATCTCTGGCTTCTGGACAGGCCCGGACTGAGCCCGACAGTCACTGGGAGCTTCGAAGCTCGTCGAGTGGATTTTGAAAGAACTGACGGGCTTGCTGCAGGCGCTGCACAAGCAGCCGACTCCGGAACACAAGGCAAGGCTTGCAAAGCTGTTAGTGCAAGTCATGTGATGAAACCTGCGCACGCTGAGGCATGGCTCGTTTTCCTTTTCGTTCTGCTCGATGCATCGAAGAGCTTCAAGCCAAGATTTTGTGGTCGTGCTTGGTCATCGGCAGGAGCAAGACGGTATGGATCTGAGCTTTCTCGCATTTCTGTGGCGAGGCATTGCCGTCAGTCATGCCGCAGTTCATGGTGGACATCTTGGAAGTTTCTTCACCATGCGTGCACGCACCATTCCGTGCGTGACAGATCCACGCTTCCGCACAGGCCGGATGTGTGCGCCCTTGATCATTGCGTGGAAGAATGCGCTGTCAATAGGCTGGCGTTTTAATAGAAGTCTGCTTGCTTGCATTTCTTGGATGTGCGAAACGTGTAGGGAGCCTCTGTACGATTCCACTCTGCCTCCAGGTGTCTAACACTGTCATCTAAAGCTAGTCTCTTAGTTTCAGAAGGTCTGGGCCTGGCGCTGGC